TGCTGTAACACCGTAGCAGGGCAAAACACAGTGAAACCACGTGGCGCTCCGTTAAATTCAAGAACTGTAACTTCATAACATATTAGAATTGAAGTGCTTAGGCAGACTTAGCTAATTTTGAAATTTAAGGTCTATAACCTCTAGTTTTATACCTGTTACTTAAATTACTCCCTACTTCATCAGAGGAAATGAGTGCTTGAAGGGATGTGTGGTGGGGATCAAAGACGGAATAAAACTGCCTGGATTTAACTGAACCACAAAACATTTGCTGCTGCCGCTTCGGCTACTGAGACGGAGCAAATAATTGTTTCTCTTCGTTGCTCCTGACTCGATCAACTTCTAACTTGCGAGGCAGAGCACGCGTGCTTTGTTTCCATCTTGTGCAGGCATGGTAGAGGTGGTGGTGGGGTTGGTGGTGGTGTCCTCCATACTTGCCCTCAGACCAGGGCGGTCTCCCCCCCCCCCCAAAAAAAAAAAAAAAATTAAACAGATTCTGTTATTTTGAAGCATGTTATCCCGAAATACTGCATATGGTGTCATTTATCGTGTAATTTTCCCTTTAGCAGAGATTACTCTTTCCTCTGGGAAATACTACATTTTGAACTGTATGGCAAGACAGGATTGAACCACATGTATGCTTTTTTTCCTTCATGAACTTCTTCAAGGATATTTTCTTGACACACCAATGCCGTCATATATTCACAAAAATGAAAAAAAGTTCATCTTTGAATGTTTGGAATTTTAAAGTTGTTCAGATGAAGATCTGTGTTCGTATTAAAACGAGTATGTGTTTCACAGATGGTATAGCTCTACGCGGCTCTGAAGTGAGTAGGGAATTTGGTTCTGAAGACAAATAACAAATCCTAATAACGAAAAGTAAATGTAAGGTGCAGAGAGTCGCTACAAATAGGAATATTCTTCTGCAAAATGTCATGCTGTTTTTATAACAAGTACAACACCAATTGCTAAACAGATATCTTCTGTATAAGTAATGTTTTTATAAGTGAGTTTTGGCCTAGTACATTTTGCTGCTTCTTCCCATAGAAGCTGTGACAAACTGTACTCTACTGGGAATGGAAGGAACCTTTGATATTTTTAATAGTCTCTTTTTGCTTAAAACCCCAAATTTACATAAGTATGAAGTCCTTTAAAAAAATCTCAGTCAGGTTTTGCAATCCTTGAAATTTTCACTTTTTTCCTGGCTGTCATGAATACACTTAATGATAATCTTCAGATATTTAAGAATGTTTTACATCTTGCAAAAGCAAGTAGACTTTTTGCTAGAGGAGTAAATGCAAATATTTGGTCTTAAAAATCCCACCAAATTTTAGGTACCTCGGGGAAGTTTAGGAGCATAGCAAGAAAGCAGGATTGCTGGAGGTAATTTGGATTCCTTACCATTGCATCTCTTTCTTCATTCACTGTAAAGGGAGTGGAGGTGGCCTCCTGCATAACTTGGGTATCTCACTTACCTTCCTGAGATCAGGTGGAACTAACCTGGATTGGTGATGAAATTTATTTTTCATAATATATTGCCTCAGGATTTCAAAACATGCAGGAGAATATGCTGAGTATTCATATGTACTATTACCTGTGTACTAGTTGGTTAAATAAATTTAGAACTAATTTCATGGGGTTTGTAGGCACTCCATAACTAACAAACAGCCGAGCAGCATCTTTTCCAGCAGTGCAAAGGGCACTCACTGGAAGTAGCAATGTGCATTTTGTTCCTAGTGCTTATGTGAAGGTATGAAACAGCCTGATGTACGTCAGAATAAAAGTTGTAATTCCTAGATGGTTTTAATCTTGCAATATGTTAGTGTTTGTTGTCCTTGTGTAGAAAGTTAAGATTTTTTTAGCAATAACTGTTCCAAGTGGAGTTAGGGATCCTGGGTTTTTCTGATTAATTTTTCCAAATTTAACTGAATCTAAATCACCTTTGCTGCTTTCAAGGTTAAATTAAGTAAAGAAATTATAAATTCCTTTTATTAAAAGAAAATGAAATAAATTCCCAATGCAAATAGAGCTAGATTCTTCAAGAAGTACCACGGGCAGATACCCTTTCCTTTGAAACAATACTCTTGTCCTTTAGGAGAGACTTTCCAGGGGAACAGTGAAGACTACTGTAAGACTTACCAATAGAACATGAATTTTTTTTCAAGTTTTTTTTTTTGTTTGTTTATATGTTTTGGGGTTTTTTTAAGTAGTAGTAATAAAGGTTTTTAAATTCTTTCTCTTGGCTAAAGTATGGTTGAAGTATTCAGCTGTATTCTTGCAATTTTGGCTGCAGGTTACTTCCACTGCATTTCTCCCAGTGCTGTGCAGACAGACCTTAGTTACTGTACTTCAGCACTACACCAAAAAAAGCCAACTGAAATAACCAACAGCAATAATTTCCAAAATACCTACATGCAGGCAGCTTCCCACTTTAAATGCAGTGCTACCAGGTTTTTGGAATAACTTGATGTTTGCAGAGGACCTGATGTGTTCCTTGGATTTTACCCGAGGAGGACAAAAGGCTATTTTTGCTCTCTTGTAACTTGTAAGGGTTTTAATATCCATTATTTATTAAGCTATGTGCTATGGCATTGTCTGGTAAAAGACCACTTCTTTCACTGACATCAGTAAGCTTTGAATCATATTACAGAATAATTTGGGTTATGAGTTCAAATTATCAACCTGCACTGCAACCAATTAAAAAAAAGAAAAAAAAGGAAACGAAGGACTTTTAAGTTAGATATCCATTTGCAATTAAGGATAGGGTACTTTTGCATGTATGCAGATATTCACTGTGCATTCACCTGCATTTTCAATTACAGCTGAAGACTTGGTCCAGTACTTTTACATTCCATAGTGGTTCTTTTCCATCCTGAAGTTTTACGTGCTTTTCTCTGAGCAGACTAGCTGTATTTCAGCTGCAAAACCAGTCTTTTTATTGATTATTTTTATTTTTTTAACGTGCCCTTTTTTAATATTTAGGCAGATAAGAAAGTTTGTACCCATGCACGTATGTAGATCTTTGAGTGTTTGCAGGTTCACACTTTAAGCCTTATCACTGTTATGAATCATGTGTATTGCACCATAAATGCGCAACGAGCGATCTTTGTGCTGCATAGTCCCTGTGCTTATTTTTTATTAGTATTTCCAAAGTCATTCACAGTATGTTTCTACTTCATTAAAGTAATTGCTTTAATTATTTTTTTATTTTTTTTTTGGTTTATACAGGCTGGGTAGGCGTCAAGAATAGTGAGTTGGGATTTAAACACTCCTGTGGCCAGACCTTGAATGGACATTCAGAACTGGTTTTTATCTCACAAAATGGTATTGACAGTTGGAGGTGATAATAGGCAGTTTATTGTGTGTATTAATTATTATCAGTCACTGCTTATGAATAAAAGAGGACGAAAAGAAAAAACGTGTTCTTCCAAGGATGTAAGCCTTCAAAGGTGAATTACTAGAGGGGAAGAGGAAAAAGGGTGACAAACAGTGAAGGGAACCACAAAAACAAAGACGTGTTTTGACCTTGTAGTATCTCTGAAATAGCAATAAACAAAAAGTCATTCCATTGGGCCTCACTTCATTTTCTTAAAACCATCTTTTGTAAGAGCTTGAAAGTTGAGGAGGGCTCACATTGCCTTCAAATGATCTCAAATTACTCTTGAAGTATTTTTAGTAGCCTGTAGAAAGAGGTGTGTGTGTGTGGGGGGGCGGTTAATACGGTTCGGTAGTCATTAAAACTGCAGGGACCTGAAGGCTGCTTGGGCTGCTCACAGCAAGGAAGTGGAGGAAAGGCTGGATCCTCTGCTGGTGGATGTCAGAGGCAGAGGAGCGGCCAGACAGAGCTGGGAAAGACTTGAGTGCAAATTTCAGTTTACAGTAAGGTGAAGATGACTGATTATTGTAGGATGACCACTGCTATTTTAAACGGGGAAAAGGCGCTTTTCAAATTGTTTCATGACTCATAAAGGTTCCAGGCTTTATGGAAATCTGCTCAGAAAGTTAGGTTGGAAACCACTCCTACAGCAAGGTTCATAAATAATAAATATTATCTCTTATTAATCCATATTTTAGTTTAACTCTGGCTCGTGGCAAGTTGGTTCCTCAGGGAACACAGGATTCTTTACAAGAGAAGGTGATGAGCCACAGTCCCCAGGGAATTAAATTGTGAAAACAATCTCGGTTTCGTACATGCTAATATAGATCTGTTATTCCCTTTCCACATCTATCACAACACATTCTAAATTGTGGCTGATCTTTTATGCAAATAGCTGTCTTATTAGACATTGCAGCTGTATGTGCTAATGTCTCCATGGGTTTCTCGGGTGTTTGCTATCTAACCATCAAAGCAGTGGAAATGAATGATGATTACTGCATCCCTTTGAAGAACAAAGAGGAGTCGAGGTTCTAGATGCGGGAGTCGGTGACACCGAGCCACGCGGGCAAATGCAAGCATCTCTGAGACTCTCATTAAGTCGGGAAATAATTTTTGCCTGCATTTTCTTCTTGTGTTTTATTGGCACTGCTAAAACTGCCAACATCTTTCACAGCTGATGTTTTCTTACAAAATATTAGTAGGCTATTGAAATTGCAAAAGGCAAGTCAAAACAGTCCCTGACAGTGGCATAAAAAAGCCAAGAACTAGTTTTGCAGTGTAAAATGTATCTGCTATCTCCTCAACTACCTGAAAGTTCAAGTGGGACTTTTATTTTCTACTCTCGTTATTCTGATGTGAACATTACGTGAGAAATACAACTCAGTCGAGGGAATGGCTGGGAAACATAATAGAGGGGGAAAAAAACCCCAGTGGATTACAGTTCACTGCTTATGTGTTTCTATGAAATGGGAGTATTCTCTGAATTAAACGAAAGTAATGTATGGAAACATTGGAACACTATAACTGAGTTTTCGGTTTGGATTAAAAAATAACGGCAGTCTTTTATACCTGGTTATTATTCCTGAATACCTTTAAAAAAGGTTGCTAATTTTTGAGCACCAAAGTTCATTTTATCCCCTGTGCCCCACACTTCAGTTTAAGGAGCCTGGTTCCATCTCTGTTGTTCTGGATTTGTCACTTGACATTAAATGCCAGTAGTTCTTACAGAGCAGATAAATACAAAAGAAGAAACTTTGTGGTTTTAAGTGCATGAATAACTGGTGGGATCATTCATGGAGCTATAATTTAAACCTTGTTTGAAGCTATAAAGGAAGTAGGTGGATGTTTAAGGTTGTGATGCTGAGGGTGGTCCATTCGGCAGTGCCTTGGCATGCTTTTCGGCCCATGATTTGGCATTGCGGTGACTTCGAGGGCTGCGTTTCCCAGACCGCCTGTCTGGGCAGAGCTTGGGGAAGCTCGCCTTGCTGTGGAGCAGCTGGTTTTGCCTAACAGAAAAGTAAAACTTGCAGATGCTCCAGGGCCATATGTGCTCCATCTGCAAGCGGTTTGTGGCTACCCGGGACAGTTCGGCCAAAGTGTGCCCTTGGCACTGTGCTCGCCAAGGCCAGTTGGGAAACGGCAAGTGTTGGCTGTTGTGCGTCGTCTGCTCTCAAGCGGTAAATCTGATGCTTCTGGAAAATGTCAGTCCTCTTGTCAGGGCAGGGGTTGATGGTGGGACGTCTGTGTCGTAAAGATGGTCAAAGAGTGGGGCTTATCATCGCTGTGATGGGTGATGCCTTCAGCCAGCTAAAATGGTTGAAAACCAGTGTTTTGGGCAGCAAGCGTGACTATAAAAGCCAGGTATTTTTTGACTGAAAGAAGAGGTGAAACGAGTGTGTTTGCAGAATCTTAGTGTATCTTTTGAGTGGCAGCCCCATGAGGGGATGAGTAAGAGACTGTAGGCTTTTGCACGTGAAATGGGTGTATTGAGGGTTTGCTAGAATGCTGCTCAGATGACTGTTGTTCAGTTACATGGATGGTGTGGGAGCGCCAAAGTACCAAAAAGAGCACCTTTGGGTGAATGATAGTGGCAGTTCCCTCTGCAACCCTGGTGTCACCTGCTTGCGCTGTGCACCGTAACAAGCCCATTCATGAGTTGGGATGGTTGTTCCCTAAATGTACCAAAGGTGATTTAAACTCTCAGTACTTTGGCTTGAGAGGTGTAAAATCGGCACAGCCCCAGCTTTCCACCTGTATTTGTCACTTTCTTTTCATTGGCAGATCTCTAGAGCCCATGACGGGAAGGTAGGAGAGTGCAGGGCTGCTGTGTTTTAGGGATCTGTTCCTCTCTTTTGCTCAGGGTGGCTGGCGGGCTGCATCTACAGGTGGCTTTCCTGAGGAGTTACACCTGTGGATGCACATACCCCCAGCCCTGCCTCAGATTCCCAGGCGCAGCATAAATGTGTTTGCCAACAATAGAAGCAGCTCACAATACTACATTCACTCCTTGGTTTATTAAAGGAAAAAAAAAATTATATAGGAATGTAATTCAGTGGTACCAAATGCTGAATTACAGTGCAATCTTTCTTTTTTTTTATTCAAACTAACAGGCATTCTGTAATGTTAATAACCCATGCAATGGGGGAAAAGGTATGTTTAGAATTTATCTAATAGTCTTAAGAATAGTGATGATTAACTCCAGTGCCTCATTGTACTCAGGGAAGGCTTATGTCTTTGTGTATAATCATGTAAATGTTGCTTGTTACAGTTTTTTCTGATGTTGTAAGTCATTGATTTTCTTAGTAACTTACTTAGGAATAATGCTTTTTTTTTTTTTTTTTTCTCCTGATACTGACAGTGATTTTTGGATTGAAAACGATGGGTAGAAAAGATGCTTCTACAGCAAGGACTCCTGTTGACCAGTACAGGAAACAAATAGGTAAGAGATCTGAAGAAATGTTTGTGTGCTTAAAAAAAAAATCTCTGTTTTTTTCAGCCAGACCAGTTAGTGTAACAACATGTATTATTCCTCCTTGAAAACTTTGTTTTGCTTGCGAGTGGCGCAAAATAATGCACGCTCCAGGGAAACATTTTTTATATGCTGTTGACTAATTCATGGAGCAAAACCTTTTATGAAGACAGTGTTTCGAGTAACTTGAAAAAGTCCATGTTCTGTGTTTGGAAATACTAGTGAAATACTGTAGTGCAGCAGCTCCATGATGTTTCTGAACTGTTGGAAATTTCCTGATTTTTTTTTTTTTTCTGTTTGTCTTCAGTTTAAAATAGGACATTTGTAACAAAATACGCTTCCTGCTTTGTAACAATTTTTGATACACTGAATGATACAGACCTTAACATCCTATAACTGCATTTATTCTCACACTAATGGAATACTTTTAACATGTTAATAGTTCGTTTTCCTAGGTCTTTTTCTGTTCTTACCCATTGTATATGTAGGTAACTTGTATACAAAGTATGCACATGCACACACAGGAATGCACACATGTACGCTGACACAGATCCCTATTTCTCTGCTTAAATACAAAGGTAAGTGACTTACTTTTGGAATCCACATATGAGGATTCTGTCTCTCTAGGCGTTAAATAATATTATAAAACAGACACAATATTTTAAAAGTACGTATATAAAATGAAGTACCTTAATCTATACTCAGATATTTAAGTAAATGACTTTGTTGTACAGTTGCTAAGCACCCACATCTGTGTTTAAATATGCAGAAGAACAGCAAGTGTCTGGGAAAAAAAGGCTGTTTATAATGTACATTCTCATGGTGAAAGAGTTAGGGCTATGTGAACAATCTTATTTTTATCATGTCTTAATTTTTTTGGTGCTGCCTTATTATTTTAATACAACTTTTAATGGTCTTTTCTGCATTTAAAGTTGAAACTGAGGAACTATTTTGTATTTTATGTTTTACATAGCTATGGAATGCTCTGTATTTCCTGATCTTGGGCAGTTTGTGTGGCTGACTTCCTCAGTTCATTCTCTTAGAAAGTTAGAAATGTGTCTGAATACTTCCTACTACCTCTATGGATGGGAAGCAGATATATTGGAAAAGTGTTTAAATAGATGGGCTCTCCGCTTTTGCGCAATTTAGGTTTCATGTAGAAAACCTTGCAAGGAAAATACTAGCCAGCAGAAGATGACACCACAAATATTTCACCCAAAAGGGTTTGGTGAGAAGTGGGAGCCCTGCAGCTCATCTTTGGGACAACTCGTCCTGCGTAACTGGGTGTTTGGAGAGAGGACGATTGCATCAGCCTTCTGGCATTTTCTCTGCGTGTTTTTCATCATGGTCACTTCTTTTTCAGCCACCTCCTTTAGGGTTGCTTTTCTTCCTTTTTTGAACACCTTCAGGTGATCATGGTTGGAGGGGTTTTTTTAAGTCCTCTGGAGGGTAGAAGAGCCTGGTGATCTCCAGCAGGATCCCTGGAGAGCAGGCTGGGCTGCTGGAGGACCAGGAGCTGCATCTAAGTATGAGCCTCACAAAATTACCTCCCGCTTTTTCACAACTTGAGCTATTTCTTGCATATTACTACCAAGCAGCCCCACGGTTGCACACCTCACACCTGTGAGATGCCAGGACTGATCAGCTGTGCCTTGGGCAGGGGAGAGGGCACTGTGCTGTAGTGAGGGGGACGAGAGTATTTGTGTGGGGGCCCAGCACTCAGAGGGATCCTGTTATGTAGCTGACTCTTGGTTTTGGGCTGGCATGTTGTCTGAATGCTTTAGCACCTTCCCTGTTATACGATGCAGCACCGTGATCCATTGGGTACTGCAAAATACAGTGTCTGAGGGGTCTCATAAGAAGCTCATTTCCCTTAGATGCAACACATTGCTCTTAACTTGGCAAAAGCAAGTTAAAAATTATCGTAGGGAAGAATCTCACTCTGGCAGGCAAATAAACTGTATAACCTAGGAGGTGTTTCTGTGATTGTAGTATTCCTTAGAGGACAGAGAGTAAGAACTAAAATAGACTATCCACCAGCTTTTGCTCTGGCGATGGTTGTTTCAGCTCCCGCTCTGGTCATTCACTGATGTAGCCTTAGAGTTTGCCAATGGAAATTAGTTCTCTGATCTCACCAGTGAACTTAATGAATGTGAGAGGGGGGTAGTTGAAAATTTATGGATACGGTTTTATAGTGTAATGTTGCGAGCATGTTTGAAGTTTATGTACAAGCATTTTGGGCTAGCTTTAGGCCTGGTAGCTGAGCTTAGTGGAGTTATCCCTGTAGTCTCATTATGCCTTTAGGCATCTTATAAGACAAATAGGTGTATTATTGACAAATATTGTCCAATAAAGAACTTCTTGCTGTAATGAATTTGGAAATATTTTAAATTTTTTGCCTTCTTGATTTTTTCTTTTTATATACTTTTGTGTAAGCAATGATAATTCATCTGTTCATCACAGGGTGGTTGAGGTTGGCAGGGACCTTTGGAGGTCATCTGGTCCAACCCCCCTGCTCAAGCAGGGCCACCTACAGCCAGTTGCCCAGGACAGTGTCCAGATGGCTTTTGGCTGTCTTCAAGGAGGGGAGCTTCACAACCTCTCTGGACAACCTGTTCCTATGTTTGACCAGCCTCAAAATAAAAATTTTTTTTCCTTATGTGTTTCAGTGTGTGCCCGTTGCCTCTGGTCCTGTCACTGGGCACCACTGAGAGGAGCCTGGCTCAGCCCTCTTTGCATCCTCGCTTCAGGTTTTTGGATACATTGATGAGGTCTTCCCTGCACCCTCTCTTCTCCTGGGTAAACAGTCTCAGGTCTCTAAGCCTTTTCTCATAGGAGAGATGCTCCAGATCCTTAATTTTAACTCCTCTGAATCTAATTCTTCATGATCTGATTTAAGTCAGACACTTAGTAGAAATCATACAGGAAGAATTTCAAAATTTTTTTTAAATCAGTTTGTCGAATAAGCCCTAATTTGGCAGCTTAGGTACTTTTGCAAGGATTCTTTACTGTGAGGCTGTTCAGTTAAAGACCTCCCAGAATAAAGAACATCGTCATGTTCCAGGACTGTGTAGCTTATGGGAAGGTCATTCTTGTTTGTAGGAGAAGAGAGACAGAAGGCTCGTCTGTTTTGGAGATGGACATTTGATCACCCTTTCCCAGATAGGTTATATCTAGAAACAGTGGGCGAAGGGAGGCTGCATGGGGCCTGTCTTTAAAAAAATTAATTTATCAAACCCATATAAAGTTCTAAATCCTTGCTTGGAGTGATTGCTGCCCTTTCTTTCCAGGCATTTGGTATCTATGGGTTCTTGAAAATGTCATGATGGATGCTGGCTGAACGGCTATCTCTTGCTGACTAATGGTGTGGGGTTATTTTTTAGCTCACGATGTAATGTTTTCTAGCCTTGCTGGGTAGAAGGTAACCAGACTGAAATGTTTTTATTACCTTTTTTTTTTTGATTGAAAATGGCAGTCTTCAAGGAACAACATGTCACAAAGTCACGTCAACTTCAACACAATTTTCAGTTAGATATTTAGTGGAGTAATTTGAAATAAAAGCAGATTTTTAATTTCGTTTTGTTCCAAGCTTTCTGTTTTGTTCTGAGTTTCCATACGGCATACCACATGTTTGCCCTGTGCCACGGTTCAAGTTCATGTTGATCACTTTAGTTCAGCCGTTTGCCTTTTTCCCTCCTCCACGAGCTCAGGATCTCTCGTGCCTTGTTTGCCGCGGTGCCGTTAGTGGTTGCTGTTTGCTTCAGTAGCATTTTCAGAGGATTCCCCCGGCACAGGGATTGATATTGCTCTTCTCTGTCAGCTGGCTTTCAGCCATCTCTCCTGCCACCAGCCAAAATTTGTCTGTAGTGCCTCTCGTTCTGCAAGTGCTCCGGTATCCGACAGCAGCACTGCCGTTTCCGCGGGGAGCAGAGGCAGCTTTTTAGTTATCAGACCAAACTGGCGCTGGCTTCGTGAAGACTGTCCCCAGGTGGGACAGGGAACAACAGCAGTAACCTTTTCAAACTGCCATAGACTGTGCCTGGAGGAGGGAGGACGGTGCTGAAGGAATCTCTCCCTGTTCAGTTCCCCCGTGAGCAGCCGAGGCTCTGGAGGAAGCAAGAGGAAAAGTAATTTTAATGCTTTTTATTACCCTCTCTCGCATACTCAAGCATATACCTGTAGTGCAGCAGCAAATGGGGCAGCTCTTCTGTGTAGCGTTTCCTTCTCACTGCTTGCTGTTTGTGCTGCTGTGCTTAATTTGCTGGGATAGGAGGAAAGGTGTGAGGCAGTATGCATCTTTCTGCATTTATGCCGCTTTGCTCTGCAAATGCTGTGAAAGTAGCAACAGGTTTTGCACCATATTTGCTTTGTTTACTGTTATGTGTGCTTTAAGTTCCCAGAACAATTCCACATGTATATTTTCCATCCTTCTTCATCTGGTGTGTCGCTTGCTCGGCATGGAAGCTGCAGGATTTGTGGGTAGTGTTCATGACTCGTGTGATTGCGGGATCCTAAGCAGGCATACTGAGAGGATTATAGCATAACTAAAACCTGGTCTACAAATCAGGAATAGACATACTTTTGGCTCCCATTACTATTGTGTTGCTGTAGCATAATTTTTCATGAGGAGAGGTTGTTTGCCAATCATTCAACCTCCAGTTTTTGTAGACTCAAAGGTCTGCTTATTGTCTGCTCTGTATCTTCTGGCTTGCTGGCTTGATCTTTTAGGGGCTGGAGCTTATATAGGCATGGCCCAGGGGATCTCTGGAGTAAAGAAAGCTCCTCACATCCCCCGGGAAGGAGTAAAAGTTATGAATGAAAATAAATTATCTTTTTGTTTTGGAAAGTGCTGGGTGCTAGGCTGAGCATGATGGCTCAGTGGTGGAGGTGGTGCTCATTGGTGTACCACGCGCAGAGCAATGGGGTGGTGGAGGGGACTGGGTGGGAGTCCTGAGACCCTGGCTGTCGCA